TGTGGTGTTGGAGAAGACTCTTGAGAGTCCCTTGGACTGCAAGGAGATCTAAGCAGTCCATCCTAAAGGAAATCAGTCCTGAATACTCATTGGAAGGACTGATGTTGAAGCTGAAGCTCCAAAACTTTGGCCACCTGATGTGAAGAACTGACTCATTGGAAAAGACCCTGATACTGGGAAAAATTGCAGGCAGGAGGAGAAGGGGACAACAGAGGATGAAATGGTTGGATGGCATCACTGACTTGATGGACATGAGTTTGAGCAAGCTCTGGGAGATGGTGATGGACAGGGAAGCCTGGCATGCTGCAGTCTATAGGGTCACAAAGAGTTGGACACAACTGAGCAACTGAACTGAACTGATCTACTCAGGACTCTCTGCCTGGGTATGGAAGGGAAGCATCACTAAGTGCTAGCTGTTGGGCATATGTAAGCCACAATACTAAACAGGGTAAAGAGTATTCTTCATTCGATAAGTGTTTATTTCATACATAATGTCTAGATACTGATCAATGAATGAATATAATAGCAGTTAGAATTCTGTAAATGTCTTCTATCAGGCATGCTCTATGTAGTTCTCACTTGTTATCTAATTTAACTGTAAAATAATCCCATGAGAAAGATTTTGTAGACTTGGAGGCTGACACTCAGAAAGTCCAAATAATTTGTGTGAGGTCACGTATCTATTAACTGGTGGAGCTGAGATTCAGACCTAGGGAGTTATTGCATGTATTGGTACTCTTAATCCTAATACAACCCATGTCTCCAGGAAGACTAGCCCTACCCTTGCTCTCATGATGCTTACTATCTTCACAGGGAAGATAGATATTAAACCACTAATCACGAGTCTGATGAGTTTTACAAAAGGTTGCTGTGGAAGCATACCAGTAGGGGACTGAAGACTTCCTGAAGAAGTCATAAATTTAAGTTGCAATTGAGGACTCTAGGGTTAGAGTTTCCATAGTGAGGCCAGAGCATGAAACTGGAGCCTGATTAGGGGAAGCCTGGGTGAGCTATGGTAATGATGTTGAATTTTGTTTGAAAAGTAAAGAAAAGCTGTTATACTCAGGGAGAGAGTGACCCAATCCAACTAAAACAATAGCAGGGCTGGGGCTTGGAGCTGGGTGGTTTGGAGGTGGTATACGGGAGGCCTCAGCAGGAAACTGTTGCAGTGGGGTGGTGATGGCTGGGCCAGAGTGTTGGCTGTGGGGATGGGACACATGGTCATGAGATGTGATCACTGGAACTTTTAACTTGAGGAGCGAGAGAAAGGACGTTGGGTTCTGAGATATAAAACATAAACAGTAGAGTTAAATACAGATTCATTGACTTGATAAAGTATAATCAGGTATACAAATCATACTGTAGAGTCCCTCCTTCCGATTTTATCACCCACACTATGAACCTGGAACCCAGCAAAGGGGTTGATATGCATTTTATCATTAATCTTCATAGCAACCCTGTGACACTAGCCCTGCTATAATTCCCATTTTACAGATGAGGTAGGTGAGGAGGATTAAGCAGAGGGCCCAAGGTCACAAGAAAAGCGGTAGGAACAGCGCTAAAGCTCTAGTTTTTATCTGATTCCACAAACCACAGTCTTCTGTATCTATTTCCTGAACCTACCTGATAAGACTCAACTGGGATATTTGTTGAGTGACTGTGTTGCTGGGCTCCACCCCTGGATGGCTGACTCAGTGAGTCTGGGGCCCAGGATCTGTGTGTTCACAGGCCTGTCACCAGGCCACTCTGGGTGGCACTAGCCCACGCTGATTAGGAAGCAGAAGGCAGGGGCAGGAGGTCAGCATGGTCACTTTCTAATGTGGGTCAGTCATTTTGCTCTCTTCTTAGCAGTATTTCTCATTTGCCTTCTCCTTTCCCTTCATTCTGCTTAGTGCTATTCACTGAATTCATCACAACTTGGCATTTTATTGTATTATGTATCGATTGGTTGTCTAGAAGCCCCTCTAGAACATAAATCCCAAGAGGGCAGGGCCTAGCTGGCTCCTGGCACGTGTCAGGACTGACCCTGTCTTCCATGCTCTCCTCTTACTCTGGACCATGGGAGCCCTGGGCTGGTCCCCCTCCTTCCTTCCACTCTCTCTTCCCTGGCCAGGCTCCCTCCTGGGCCTGTGTGATCTCTGTGAGACGCCCGTCAATTCTTTGCTCTTCGTCCTTAAAACAAGACAAGCTGTGCTTTGGCCCTGACCTCCCCTTCCTTCCTCCCACGGCCCCTTGGCTTCAGCCAGACACACTGGCTCCCAGTCACCCCAAGTGATGTCTTTGAGCTCCCCCAGGTAGTCTGAGCCATCAAGGGTCACATGCGAAGCTCCAAAAGAGACCTTCCTGGAGGTGCCAGCGCTGCCCTCCATCTGCGCCCTGTGGAGGCAGTGAGGCTGGCAGCCACGCTCTTGGGTGAACCCTCCTCTGCCCACTTCCTTTCTGGACTCCTGCTGGGCCCTTTAGGAGAGGGCTGCTTGCTCCATGGCTCGCAGAGAGGCTATGCTGCTGACAAGGGATAGAAGGCTCGAGAAGGTGCCCTGAGCAGGAGGTCAGGAGGGCTACTGGCCATCCTGGTGGGGAGCCAGGGGCGGGTGGGCAAGGGGAGGGGGGGAATGCAGGGAGGCCGTCTGCTTGCACAGAGCTCTGCGTGGCTGCTCCCTGGGTGGCCCAGGCTGTTGTGCTCTGTGGAGTTAAAAGAAAACTGCAGGGTGGAGGGAGCTTGCTTCTCAGGGCCTCGACCACGGCTTACACCACACATGGCTAAAGTACACAGACGATTAGCAATCAAGGGAAGGACCTCCCTGTGAGAGAAAATGACACGGGTTACTTCTCTGTAAACAGCTCCAGAAAAAGCACTGGTTCCTTTTACGGGCTCTTTACTTCCTTTGAGAAGC